AAAAAAAAAAAAAAAAAAAAAAAAAAAAAAAAACCTCAATTCTAGAATCTGTGAAATATTATCAACCAGGCCTACATACCCCAAAGCATATTGTAGTCAGTTATTATTTTGGCATTAGAGCTGTCAATGGCATAAGAAACCTTTTGAAACTCATTTGGAGGGCTTATAAGGATAAATATGTTTCCTTAAGGGTCTGTCTCTTACCAAAGAAAACTAAGGAGGAAGTAAACACATAAACTTGCTTTTTTTATTTTCTGAAGATAACTTTTAAAATATGGGTGGTTTTTCCAAAACAAAAGGATTGTCTTAAATTGTGAAGTACTTAAATCAGGTAAGTCATCAATATAAAATATGCTCAAGATGATGGAAGTTTAAAATTGAAACCAGAAGTATAAAACAGCAGCAAGAGAAACAACAGTAACAGATGTGGTAATAATTTCACACAGGAAGTGCATGTGCAAGAACATGGTCTATATTTACTGAACTTGAAATTTCTTTCATGTTGTCTGTCCTTGACAAGCTATTTTTCTTCCCTTCTCATGTAGTGCATTTCACATCAAACAAGTGTGTTATTCTTATTGTGAAGTGAAGGGTGCAGAGAGGAAAGGGTTGGCTGATCGTGACAGTTTGGAATGTAAAATGCAGCAATAACTGTAGGTATGCCAGTGGCTTCCAGAAAAACGAGAGGGTTTGGAAATCTCAGTGAGTGCTCTATGTCACGCCAACCCTTGAAAGCAATCCGCTTCTTTTTCCTTAGATTTTGCAGTGCTCACATTCCTATTCTGTGACTTCTGTTCTAAAGAGTCTGACTTCATGTAGTAGTGATGCTTTGAAAGCAATCCGCTTCTTTTTCCTTAGATTTTGCAGTGCTCACATTCCTATTCTGTGACTTCTAAAGAGTCTGACTTCATGTAGTAGTGATGCGAAGGTATATTGTGAACCCACAGAATATGACTGGTGTCCCTACCTGTGCTTTCCTAAACACTGAAATACTCTAAGTAGCACATACTAGTTAGTTACCTGCTATATTATTATGATTCAGGTCTCTTCAGTTACTGAATCTGAGCCTCAGAAAAAACAAAATTTTGCTTTGCATTAATCTGTTGATACAATAGAATATTCAAATGGTATTGAAAAAATGCATTTGTGTGATCTTTAACCACTAGGTTTGAGTATGTGTCTTTTCTTTTCCACAGCAGCAGGTAGTGAACCAACTCAGGCTCCCAGTGTATTTAAACAGGCAAAGGACAAAGTCTCTGTGAGTAAAATAAGTTTTTCCTTGTTTCTCATGTAAAGCTCCTATTGGTGTTAGTTGCATTGCCTTAATAACTTTAGATATTCTTTATATTTTTAGATATTTCCCCTTAAATGTCATTTTAAACAATTCACTCACCCAGATTGATACTCAGAAGCAGCCAAGCAAGGATTATCATCCTCTGGAATGGCATGTGATGGTAGCAGGTGGGGATATGGCTGGACTGCTCTTTATTAGTAAGATAAAAACATGAAGCAGCACAACGATTTGGTTAAAGCCGGAAAGGCCAATTCATCTGCTTTATATAGAATCAAATTTACCATTACAACCAACATAACTATTTTATAATAGCTTAGGGATGGTGGTGGCTAAGTTCATATATGCATTTCCTCAGGATAACTAACTACTAGAGAAATGGGTGTTTCAAGAAAAATATTTAAAGGTTTTGCTACATATTGCTAAACTTATCTTTGCCAAATTCTGAGATAAATATATTGTTGTCTTGATGTGGTTCTATTAATAGGTTTAACTTATTCATGTTTGTAAATGTTTTCTACTTTTACTTTTTGAATTTTATTTTTCACATTATTAACCATATTTTGAAGAACAGAATCAACATGAAATAGTTTTTGCTCCTTTACAATTACAAAGAAGTTAAAGAACTATTCAGGAAATCTAAAATTTATAATAAATAATTTGAATGATGTTAATAACATCATAACATTCTGAGTCTCCATAATTATATGTGATATTTAAATAATAATTCATAATTTGACCTAGTAACTGATAGATTTTTAAACTTCTACTTTTTATTTATTGTTAAAAGAATGATTCATTTCCATCAGTGACCAAACTTTTGATAATCATTTTAAACCTGAAAGGCTTCACTTTGATCAAGGAAAATATTTGACTCTTATATGAATATTTTCAGACATATTCCTGAATATATATGATAGGTAATAGAATTCATTTATTGCTTTGGTCAGTATTAGGTTTTATTTGGAAAACAATGAATTCCAGTCTTTATATTTCTTTACCCTCTGTTTCTAACTGAGAACTAGTGACTTGTCATGTACAAATCTTACACATTTATTATTTAAATGATCTTCTTTTCCGGTCTTAACTGTCTAAAAAGAAAGATGATGAAAATTCCTAATAATGTAATTATGAAGATTAAATACAGTAATTTTATACAACAGTATACAGTGTATTGACTGGAAAATAGCATTCATTTAATAACAACAGTTGTTATTTGTTGTTATTATTTTTGTTATTATTTAGAAAGTAAATGTTTTGGTGGCTGGGGATTTAGTTCAGTACTGCAGCCTGCCTTGCAAGCGCAAGGTCCGGAGTTTGATCTCCGGTACCAAAAGAAATAAAGGTTTTTAAGACCAGATACTGAAAATAAGTCTGAGTTTTTCCCCTGTAGGAAAAAATTTAAGTATACATCTTTTGGAAAACCTGTAGGAAATATTCAAGTATTTAGTCTGTAAGGACATTGTATGATATAAAACTAAATTTTTACCATGTCCATCTCATCTTTGTGAAGAAGACAGATAAGTTCATTATACTTAGTTTTTCTCATTTAACATCGCCTTTTTTCTTCCTAATACCTCACCCCTCTATTTATGTTTTCTAAAATCTCTAGACTAATTCTGACTTGATTTGTCTCTGATATTCAAGATATGCACGAAAATCGTCCTCTGGTTTTTGTCTTATCCTTTATTATGAAAATTACTCTGCATCGGAGTAATTGGATTTCTGATAGCGAAGCGGTTTGCTTAGCATTAGCACTTCCTTAGAGGCAATCCAGTTACTTCATTCTTCTTTCTTAGAACACATTCTTCAAATTCATTCTTTCGTGGGTAAGATCAATTAAAAAAGAACAACTGTGCTGACCCAGTTAGACTTCCCACTCGTGGCCCTGGGTCTGCGAAAGAAGATGTGATTTGTACAATATGTGCATGCTTGCATCCCTATGGAAGTAGCTGTGAAGGCTAAAATGAGATAATATTCTCAGTTTCATCCACCATCTTTGAAACAGCTAAATCAAATTAATTATTTGAAGATAACAGTCTTTGCAGTTCTTGTCTGTGTTTTTAACAGTGTCTTCCAGAAGACTTGTGAAATGCCAGCATAGCTTTCTCCAAAAGCCACTTACACTTGCAGACCATTTCCCTAGGAATCCTCAGCAAATGTAAACTAAGGCTGGTGATTTTTATGGGGAATTAGTGTGGAGCTGACTTTCTTTCTTATATTTTATAACACGTCACACAGACTGTCATCTATGCATAAAAAGATCTCACTAATTCTACACAATAATCAAGTCCCAGTTCTGTTTTACTCATTATATATAACTCTGCATATTTTCTAAGGAATTCAATATAGATTATCTGAAAAATAGCTTTTCTCAATCTTTAAGCTAATGTTTTATATTACTAGGTCTATACATTGTCTAAAGTTCTTAAAATGTGCTCAAGATATGGATTATATGACATTTTAAAGGTTGTACTTATATATTAGGAGAACATTAGACTATAAAGACATTTTCCAAAAACAGTATCATCTTGATCCTGTGGATTACAGATTTTATACATAGCACCTATGAGGAATAGTTGAGAACTATAGATAAAATTATTTTTAAAATTCCCAAATGTAGCCACTTAACATCATCCTTTAAACCAATAAATACTGTTTTGCTCATTACTATTGTAATATTCTTCCTTTTTTAAACTCTATATTTTTATTAGCAATGCATCCTTAAAAAGTTGAATTCATGATTTGAAGATTTTATTGCAATCTCTGACAGTGGAATGATTTCATTGATAAGAAGACTAGCAAACAGTTTGCAATTTCTAAAGACTTGGCAGTTGTGTCATCTCTCATTCCATTATAAGATAATGACCCCACATGGGACTGTATTTCTCCGGTATCCCAAAAGGCAGAAGAAACTATAATATTTAATTTAGAACTAAATTCTCTACAAATAATACACATTTTGACTAAAATGTGCAGCGGGAATTGCCTCCATAAGCTTCCTACAGTGGGCTCCTCAGAATAACCTAAGTCTACTGCAGAGACAAGAAAAATCTTGAAATTGTGTACTTTTCCTGAGAAATTTACTCCAGAAGCTGGGGGCAAACCACAACCTCAGAATGCTTCCTATGTCTCTGCCAACTAAAATAATCCACGCCACAGAGGCATGCACATGTCTTTTTCTGCTTCTGAACCAAACTCCAGCCTTGAACTTTAACCATGAGAGATTTTGGCACCAACCTACATCTTCCCAGAAAGAGTCTCTCTCACCTCCCTTGTACAAGGTTCATTACAGAATTTCTACTTTCAAAAATATCTTCTGGTTCCCTGGGTAGAGTTGAGCAGTTATAGATTCCTATATCAAACCACTCGATGTTTTGGTCTCGGAATTTCAAAAAGCTAACTCCTCCAAGACTAATTCTTTTTTCCATCAGTCTACCAATCACTGTTCACTCAATAATTGTTCATTGTTTCTGTACTATGTACTGAGCATAAATAGTCACAATATTTGAAAGTAACAGGGAGCAAATAATATAGACTTGTGTTCTAGACCCGATGAATACAAGGTCTCATGGGTCAGCACTATTTTTATGTTCACAAACAGTACATATAAGAAGTATTGTTAAGTTAGTTCCAGCTGAACAGAAGTGTTTAATGAAAAATCTCTTGTTCGCATATGAATATACATTTTCATCATTGATTACAGTCATTATATCATGTATTCTTATTAAAAGTGTGCATTTAATTTAATTATTTAATTTTTATATGTTTGTACTTTTTAATTTTTTAATTTACTTCATAGTTTGGTTTATTTTGTACTTTTGTTTGTTTTCTTTCATGGCTAGACTTCTACCTTGTCAAAGATTCCTGCTTTACAAGGTAGCACAAAGTCCCCAAGATACAGCTCAGCCTACTCTAGCACGACTAAAAGGGGTACCTTTTCTGACAGTTCTTTAACACAGCCCACCTCAGTGGGCTCCACAGAGCGTTTGCCATACTCAAAATCAGGGAACAAGGTAAGGCAGTAGGTTGACAAAAGGTGCAGAAAGGAGCATAATTTGGGAGATGATTATATGGCATAATATAGGATTAGCATAAAAACAAGGATATAAAAGTTATCTAACATATAAATAACAGAATCTGTTAACAAACACAACTGGAAGTTTTTTATAGTCTCCTCGTAAAACAGTATAGAAAATATTTTTCTAGTTATTTTATCCATTATCAATTTTTCTTGTAAGATATCAAAAACTGACAAAACAAAATATATTCTGTTATACATAATGACATATGCAATAGATAATTTGGTATAATAACAACAAACTCTATTGTACATATATAGTAGACCATTTAAAGTCACCTTCAGACACATTGAGTTTAAATACCGCCTCTGCCAAATCTGTGAACTTGAAAAAAATTACATTAACTCACTAAACTAATTTCCTCAGATTTAAAATGTGTCTAAAATGGATGTGGTATGCTCCGCGTTCCTGTCACATAGGTGTACACTATATTTAGGAATATTATTCATGCAATGCCTTTGGCCAGTTCTTGCTGATTAATAAATCATTATGCTAATGAAGGTTTTTTCAGCAGAATTAGCAATTTGCTGAAGATTGCTTTAGTAAATTAACTTCCAGAGCTAACTCTAGAATAATATAATTGTGCAAAATATCTAGGTAATGTGAACTCCTTCTAAGTTATAAAGTACAAATGCTTATAAGTATATGAGATTTAGTAGTGTACATTATAATAAATTTATCAACACAGGAAAAAAACATAGCCAGCAGAGTGTTCTCACGTTGTATAATTAAAATAAAGATTCACAAGAACCCAGTGTCTTTTTGTTTTTCCAAATCAGGATGGCATAACCAAGAGCCCGGAAAAGCGCTCTTCTCTTCCAAGACCGTCCTCCATTCTTCCTCCTCGCCGAGGTGTATCAGGAGACAGAGAGGAGAATTCCTTCCCCCTCAACAGTTCCATCTCCTCTTCAGTGAGACGGACCACTAGTAGGTTTCTCTTGGTTTGGCTTCCTATGTAGTTATTTTTTAAAATCCCTTAAGTGGAAAAGAGCTTATTCTTATACTTCTATTTTACATTTTTCAAATAAAGCATGCATTAAGAACAGATAGTCTTTGTCCTAAGAATCAGAGAATATAGACTATAGGGGATCCAAAATAGCTTTCTGAGTAAAAACAATTGATGGAGGAAATAGAACCAATATTACCTTGTTGTATACTAAATAACATTGAGATAAAGTAATTTTTCTAAGTATATATTTTCTTGTTTCAAGTTTAGGACAAATTTTTCTTAAAAAAAGAAATTAATTGAGAAAAACAACAGTCGGGGATTTTTAAAACATGTATTTATACAAACATAAGACTTAAAATTCTAATTCCTAAAATCTAAATGGGAAGCAAATAATTACAAACTTAAGAGCATGTTAAATTTGTCAAGAATTTGCATTCCAAATGAGTTGTAAACATAATATGACCAATTCAGTAGCTTCTCCTCTGATTGATGGCCCATAACTGATTGGCAATTATGACAACTTATGTAATTCCTGTCATTACACATTTACAGATAGTGTGCTGCTAAAACTATCCAATAAAAGAAGGATTCAAAATATTTTCCTATTACAACAAAAATGGCTACCATTTATTGAGTATACAGATGCAAAACTCTTAAGATATGTTTTTGACTCAGTTTAATACACAACACTGATAGGTATGAATAGCTGAAATTCAGTTGACTAAAAAACTGACGGTAGAGAGGGGATAACTTGTCCATTACTGTATAGCTAGGGAGTGGTTGAATTTGATTATCAACCCACCATTAATTTCATAAGCTGTCCTCTTAATGTCTTCTCTATATTTGGAAGAACTGCTCTATAGAATTACTTAGAAAATAATACCTGCCATTCAGAAACTGTATGCATAGGTGGAAATTGCTATCACGATCAAATAATAGTTGACTTTGCCACTGGCTTTTAAAAACATTTAATAATAATTGGCCCATTTCCAATATGATTATTTTGTGTGATACTTATGCAATTCTTTTGCCTACAGTGAAAATGTTTACTATAACTATGTGCTCAGCAACATTTAGTCTCGTGAACTCTTAGCATCTTTTAAAATCTGTGCTAGAAACACTTTGAAATTATCAAATCTCTTTTTTATAGTAGGAAAAATAAATTATTCTATTGAACCGGAAAGGAGGACATCTAAAAGTTAGTAATCCCCAGGGAAGTGAATTTAACTCCAAATATCTGGATTTAGAATTGAACATAAACAGTAACCCCACAGATGATGAGACAGACAAAGGTACCACGTTCCCTGAGGAATATGTGCTGCTATGGAAGCAAAATGGCACTGTTTCCACAAATCCACATCTTCATGCCATTGGATTCTGTCTTTTAACTTGAATCTGTGTATAAATTGCTCTGTAAAATATTCTTAGTTAATGCTGTTTTGACATTCTAGTTTTATGTTCACAAACAGATTTTATCACGTTACTTGGCAATAAAGCGTAACTGATACTCCGATCACCTAAAACATGGGGCCTGATTTAGCTCTACCTAGCAATGTCTAAAAGGAATAAATACTATCAGAAAAGCAATAAATTCGCCACTTTCATTCTACCATCTCCTTGACTGAACACAGGATTATCCTGGCCTTTCATAAAACTAATGAAAGGACTTGAAGGAAACAGTGCTATGCAGGAAATTCATTTAGCCCAGGAAGAGGAAAAGGCTTTGTCATTGAGTTGAAAAGATAAATAAGGGCCCAGTTTAATAAACTCACAAATATTTAAAAAATCATATTAGTTTTTTTACTTTGACCTTTTAATTTCAGAATTAAAAACTCTCAAACTTACTGTTTTGATGGTGAGAACAATTTATTGCAATAAAATCTGGTCATGTATATTGAACAGCAGTGTGAAGGTCTTAATATTCATCGTTTATCTTCATTCTTCAGAACACAAAACTTGCCTTTTTATGAAGCCTAAAATTATTTTCTACCAGTATAGAAATGACCCATACTTTAGGAAAAAAAATTCTTACAATAAGAATTATTGCTGACATTCACTGTATTACTTCAGCTCAGTCTCCTTACAGTAAAGAGCATATTAGCATATTTTTATAAACTTTAAATCTAATTCATTCTTTTAAAAAATGAACCTGCTGTGTTTAAACCTCATGAAAGTTACCAAGATGGTCATAGTGGCTAATTATACAGAGGAGATCCCTTTCCAGATTAGGTGAGATACCCAAAGCTGGTGAAATCACAAAGAAAACATTTGAGAAAGAAATTTTTCAGAAGTATATGATAACACAATTAAACCTACATAAAAAATGTATTCCACAAGGAAGCTACAAATACTGTATTACTTGTGGTCCTAATATCCCGGTCTTGAAATATTATCTCTCTGGAAAGCAATAAATTAAAAAAGAAACACAGATGCACACTGATGCATCATTTTTGCTTCCTTGTATTCCATTTCTATTGTCAGATGAATAATAGGACGAATTTGTGCCTGTTTGTTAAAAGCCAAACCCAAGGCAATTTTCTCTTAATACATAAAAACTGCTCACAGAAAGAGGAAGTAAAATTGTTCTATTTCTCCAGAAAATTAAACCCAGACCAGTGAGTAGATATCTGCTGTCTATAGGTCACAGTGTCCAAAGATTTCTCTTGAGCTCATTCCTTACGTTAAGCAATGACCAAATTAAATGTTGCCTTCCCAGGAAGAACTTCTGACATTGATGATCAGTTACATTGGTTGCACTTCAGTGATTTTAAAATTGAGTCCTGTCTTAATCTCCTACAATATTTCAGAAGATCTGTTGATTTTACATAGTGTACAGTTACAATAACCAAAAAATACAAATTGTGCCTTTCCTCATAAAATACAAGTTATAAACGAAATCTAAATGCTTAAAAGGGTGATTTTCCAACACTAAATATTGTATCAGGCTTAGAATCTAATAACATCTGAGTAAATGAGCTTCAGTGTCCTCATTTCTTAATTAAGATTAATAAGGGCTGCCACTAATTATTATCCACGTTTGTTTGCTTCAAACTGTTTGGTATTTACAAAAGGGCTTTGAAATCTACATGCTTTACACTTATTTCTATTATTCCTCTTTCAGAAGAGCATTTGAAATGGCATTAAAAATACATACAAAAAGATAATCTGAGAGAAACCTAGTATCAAAAAGAAATGAGGAGCCGGGTGTGGTGGCCCCTGCCTGTAATCCCAGCACTGGGGAGGCTGAGGCAGAAGGATCACTGTGAGTTCGAGACCAGCCTGGGCTACATAGTGAGTTCCAGGTCAGTCTCAACTACATAGTGAGGCCCTGTCTCAAAAAACAAAACAAGAAAAACCAAACAAAAACAAAAAAAACAGGGAGGAAATAGTAAAATAGAAGGGGTGATCAAAATATACAGCAAAATATTTCAGTTTTTAAAATTAATACAGTAAAAAGTATATTACCATTAATGCATTCCCTGCAAGGGAATCTCATTATTCTTGCCATTCTTTGAAGCAGTTCTGGAAGTTCTCTTTTGTGATTTTATGAGTTGTCAATATGGTGCTGCCACTCAGTGGAATGGCAGGCTCCTAAAAGCCTTACTATGTGTCCTCATCCATCATATTCACTGGATCTGGCACCATGAGACTTCTGGCTCTTCCCCAGAGTCAAAATGCCTATGAAAATGCTCGGAATTGATACAGAATATTGAGGCAGTCAGGACAGAGCAATTAAGTATGAAAGAAGATTTCTAGAACTGCTTCAAAAAATATCAAAAACTATGAGATAAGTGTGTTCAAACTAGGGGAAATATTTTCAGGAGGATTAATAGAAATATGCCTTTTAATCTACTAATAATTTTTGTAATTTAAACATTTACCATATTTCTTAATAAAATGAGATTGGGCTCAAGTGGCATCAAAGAAATTCATCTCTGAAGATTCTGTATCAATAACACAATCAGGTACAAGTTTCACTGTGAATATTTTGTTACAGCAAGAAACACCTTTTTAGTAGGAGGCACAGGATAAGTTTTCTTCTAAAAGGACTAAGTGATGCTGTATAGTAGAATACTGTCTGCCAGCTTCCAGTTAACATTTGTGCAACCCCCAGTGCTTCTCAGTATAAGCAGAGAAACGAACATGAGACATGATTCGGTCAGTCCTTTTCTGCATGGGCTAACTCCATGTGTTGTAAAATTCACAGATCTGTGTCATATGTACATCTGGAGCTCAGAACGAATAAACTACATAGACGAATGAATGATCCGCATGTCATTCAGCTTCAAAAATAGGGAGTCTGTGTACCTTAACGATCATTCAAGTAAAAAAATAGTTTTTGACACATTTGTAATGAGAACTTCGGAGAATAAATCAGGAAAAATGAAATTTTATCCCCATATTAAAAGGAATACAGTTTGAAAAGATTGTCACTAGAATATGAACCTAGAGTATGTTCTGGCATATTTTTAGCATTTTGTGATAATTCATAAATATTTCTAAATGTTTCAGAAATTTAATATATTATGAGTCCTCGTAATCTACAGGAAGAAAAATACCCTACAGAGAACTCTGTAATGCTGCTGTCTGGTGTTTGTCTAACTCATTTATTAATATAGGGTCAGAGCCAATTCGCCGAGCAGGAAAAAGTGGCACCTCAACACCTACTACCCCTGGATCAACTGCCATCACTCCTGGCACCCCACCAAGCTATTCTTCACGTACCCCAGGCACTCCTGGAACCCCCAGCTACCCCAGGACCCCTCACACACCAGGAACCCCCAAATCTGCCATCTTGGTACCCAGTGAAAAGAAAGTGGCCATCATTCGTACTCCTCCCAAATCTCCTGCTACTCCCAAGCAGCTTCGGCTTATTAACCAACCACTGCCAGACCTGAAGAATGTCAAATCCAAAATTGGATCGACAGACAACATTAAATACCAGCCTAAAGGGGGACAGGTAAGAATCTTGAACATCTGTTTGCTGCCAAAAATAACATCATGGTCATTATTAGGCTGCCTTCCTCAGTGAACAATTCTTAAAATGCAAGGGAGATAGAAATATTACATAATTACTAGTTACAACTCACTTACTGCTGAGCCTGGACCTTATCTGAAGAAGCAAACATAAAATGTAATGAAAGTCACATAATTCTTTTCCTTCTGGTCATTTTTAGGTGACGGTTTAGTCATGTAGGAGTATCTTTCTGGTGATTTCCTAACAGATCTTTTCTGAAATATCTCTATGGTTTTAACTTGAAATTAAAGTCATTTTTCTGGTGTCAATTTGAGATTTCTACTTCATCATGAGTTTAATTTTATTTTCAGTGATTCACTTTTGTTTTCTTCCTTTTCCTCCAAAGATTTCTTAGAAGATCTTTTACCATTTTCCCATGTTTACTCTAAAATCAGATCATGGTTTACCAAGTTACTTCTCTGGCTACTATTTCCTAAATATTGCAAAGGGCAGCAATTTATGTTAATAATAAATAGACCACTCTACATAAATCTTATGAAGTTATAGCCTTGGAATCTCTACTTAATAGTAACTGTAATGGGTAGTTATTAGAAAAGATCATTAAATTCTGATTCCAGAGCAAATGCTTGTGTCTTTTCCAACTAGGTGGCTTTGAGTTCTGCTTTGATCTGAACCTTGCTCATCCACTGTACATTTTGGACAAAGCCAGGCAGGAAATAATACGAATATGATTTAATATTTCTTTTATAATTTAATCACTTTTTGGATAATTCAACTTTTCTTGAAGAGTGCTAAAAGAAAACATCCACCTTTGAAAGAAGGACAAAAGCAGTAGTTCTCTTTGTACATGAACAAACTTGTAATACCTCTTCACAAATTCGTAGAAACACTTTGCCTTTTTTTTTTTTTTTTTTATTGAGTTTATTGGTACATTTAGGGATACAGTACAGTTACATTCATTGTTGGGATCATGTACCTTTACATGGCAAGTCTTGATTCTCATTTTTTCCCCTTACCTCTGCCCTCCCTTCACCCCCTCCTCCCCTCCCCATCTACAAACACTTTATTTTCATCTTTTCATTCTCTCACATTTTTTTCTTTTCCCTTTTTGTTCTTCCCCTACGTATCACACCTTCCCTACACCTTTAGCTCCTTTCCTCCCATTTCTAAATGTCAGTAATCTTATTAGAATCTTATGCATTGTTGCAGAATATTCACACCAGGGAAACTATTTGGTATTTACACATGTGGGACTTATTTATTTCACTTAGGAGTATATCTTCAATATTCATTCATAGGAAAATGGAAACACTTTGCCTTTTAACCTCAACGTTTTTCCTGCCACTTTTTCTTGTTTCTTAGCCTTTCTGCCACTGATTCCTAGAATCCCTCTTTCAAGCCAGAGAAAATGTATTTTAGAGGTTAGAGGGAGGATCTGGCCAAAACATGGAGCTACCAAGGGCCTCCTACTCACATCGAAATCACAGTTCCGTGTTGATCCCTCTTCAGCTGGAAACTTTCTTCCATCTCACTACAATTCTGTTTAAGAAAGCCCGTGGAGTTAAGAGGAATCAACCAAGGGGCTGTGAGGACAACTGTAACACCCTATGCTATAGTCATAGTAAGATACTTTTTTGTAGAAAGGCATTATGAAGAACACGAACTATAAGAAACTTTTATAAGCAAAAAAACCCAAATTGTAACAAATTTAAGCCTATAATTCCAAAAAAACTTATGCTATCCTTATATTTATCAGTTCTGTGAAGTGAGAAGAAAAAAGAGAAGGAAATATTTTGGGCCTTTTAGAAATATCCAAGGTTTGCACTGTTATTATATTTATGCATAAATAATTAAAAGAATAATTTGAAATCAGTTTAGTGAAAGTAGGAAAATTCTCAGAACATTTGATGAAAGAGATCTCTTAAATAACTATTATCTATATTTAAAATCAATTATCTTTTTATAAATGTCTCCCTGTTCTGGTATTCTCCTTAACTAACATCTCCTTGCTTATATTAAAGTACTGCTATATAAAAAAATATATTTCTTCTTAGAATCACAAAAAATGTAAATCATTTTTGGGATTTTTAATTGAAACTAAAAAAAATATATAACAAAAAGGGAAAGGTATCACTATAATTTTTGTCTTACTCAAATTTCAATCCTCATATGATTTCAAAAACAGCTTTGGCATGGAAATTTGAAGCTTCTGAAATTTTAGTGAAGTAATTCAATGCAAAGTGTTATATTGATATGCCATTGAAAGTACATCATATTACTACACTGCGTTGACTTTGGAAAATTATATTGCATTTTCTTCATATTTTTTCTCCTGTATTTGAGAGGTTTCTTTTTTATCATAAAATTAGCATTTTTAAAGAGTCTAGTTAAATTTGAATTTCTATTTATAATGTCAAGGATCAATAATAAAAATATTAATTCTATCATCAACCTCCCCATCTTAAAAATAACATAGACTATTATCTTATTTCTTTGAAAATTCCAAAAACTCAAAGTTTTCAATTCATTTACTCAGTTATTTATTCACCAAATATTTGTGAGCCCTATTATGTGGTAGTTTAGGTTTGGCAAATGTAACAATGAACAAAACAGTCAAATATCCTGAAGTTCTTGCCTTCATGAAATGTACATTTTAAGAGGAAAGGCAAGCAAAGAAAAATGACATAGAAAAATATAAAGAATGTGTAGGAGAAAAGTAAAGATAAAAAATGGCTTAGGGTGTGTTGAGGGAAAATTGCATTTCTGGTAGAGGGACAAGAAGGGCATAAAAGAGTGATACTTGAATAGAAAGGCCAAGGAAGTAGAAGTATAAGCTCTGTTGATCACCAGGAAGTGTATTTCAGGCACAGAAAACCATAAAAGCAAAGGCCCTGTGGTAGAAGCAGGTCTGGAACAGCAAGGACATTAGTGTAACTGAAACCCAAAAGGACAGCAATGTAACTGAAGGGTAGAAAGTTCACTCTACTTTATTTTTAATATTTTCATCTCTGTTGAAATGACTTCAATAGGTGAAATCTGACATCTTTGAGCCTTATTTTCATTTCCTTTCTCCATATCCCATATCTTGAATATCTTTAACATGCTACTAATGTTGTAGTCTTCAGCAGCTTTACATTTGCCCATTTTTCTTTTTCTTTCTTATTTATTTATTTATTTATTTATTTATTTATTTATTTATTTATTTATTTATTTATTTCGGTACTGGGGGTCAAACCCGGGACCTTGCACTTGCAAGGCAGGTGGCGACACCACTGAGCTAAATCCCTGGACAGTTCTTATATTCTTAAATGAACAGTACATTGTGTAGCTATTCGGTATCTATATTATCTCCCTTGCTAGACCATGACCTCTGAACAGTCAAAAATGAGTTCCATCATGTCTTCAGATTCTCATGCTGAGTAGGCGCTCAATAAATATTAAGTGATAATTAAATGTGGTATGCCATATTTACGGGGCAATGTGTTCTTTCCAACAGCATTAGTGAAAAAGTGGGAGTGTGTTATGCCATTGCAATTATTACCTAAAGAAACACTTCACATTTAGACAACCATGAATTTTGATGAAAGGAGTATCGGACCGGGATTTGAGAATTGAATTTTCTTCCATGGAAGTGTTACATGGCATTGGGTACTGATCTCCCTTGTCCTTGTGTTTCTTTTTTGTGGAACAGAACAGCAAAATAATACTTGTTTTTGTGTATAGTACCTTTTTGTTTCAATAGACTAAGAGGGTGCTTAAGGCTCTCAGATGCATGGTTCTCCATAGAGCGTGATAAAGTTTTGGCATTACAGCTATCCCGAAAACAGGCACTGAGGCATTCTGATAGACTCGGTGGGTGCTGTGCTGCAGACAGCAAGCTGTGAAGAGCAATGTTTCGGAGGCAGAAGAGGCTGTGTACATGGGGAAGAGGGAGTGACAGAGAAGGGGGAAGAAGGGCATGAAATCGGTGAAATGGAGACCAGGAACTTTTATATTTTGGTGGAAAGATGAGACAATATCCTTGAACATTTTTAGGACTTTCATATGCTGGAGAATAATATACTTCCAATTTTATATTCAAGAAAATGGAATTAATTCTGGAGAGAACTAATAAATAATAGTAAAACAGAATGTTCGCACACTACGTAAAATTATGATGGTTATGACTGTGAAGGCTTGTCTATTACTGGGTGCTATTAACATATAGGCATGTTTATGAACTAGAAGACTAAGAAAAAGACTGAATGAGACTGCTCTCTCATTCACATATTTAATCTTTTATCAGACACTTACTGAGCCTGCTAGGTACTCTGTGACAAAAGAGAAATGAGAGACAGAGAGGTATGGGCTCCACATGGAAGCAGACAGGAAAGTTTTTGCTTTGTTTTGTTTCTTTGTTTTTCCTCTCCTGCAGTCTTGCCCTTATTTAATTTTAAATTCTTTCCAAGCCAGTTATTTCCATCTCAATAGGGGTACAGTAAATGCTAAATCAAAGAACTAATAAAATGCCCTATGAAGTCAAAAATACTGTCAGTCAAGCCAGTATGAGGAAAAAAATCTATCCACTAAAATTTAGTAATTATGTTTACAAAGTTTATTACTTATTTATGGAAAAATTGATAATAATAAAAGCTCCATAAGTTTAGAGACTTTGGCTTTATGCAGTAGGAATTTTATAACTGTAATTCGCATGCTTTTTCTAGGGTAATAAGATGTTTTGAAGCTTAGATTTATAAGTGCCAATTATAAAATCTCTGAGAAAAGTATGATTTTTCAATTTATAAAATTGAGGCCTGTGGCTCTTCTTTTTGTCTGCCCTTCACTCATGAGCTAAGCAAAGACATGGAAACAAGTCTTGAATCTCAGGTTGCTTTCAGGTAACTGATCAGATTTTGCCACGTTATTATCTTCACTAAATCCTTAACGTTTCCTAAAATTTAAAGGAAAAAAATGACAAGAAATTATAGCCTATGAATTTGAAA